ACATATGCGAAGTGTTTCAATAACTATCTAATAATACAATAATTATTAGCCATACATTGTTGTTTTTTATACAACATTTAATTTAATGTCATATTTTGTAGCTGCTGCATATATGTTATAGTAGTTCGTATATGTGAGAAATAGACTAAAACACCCTAGCTAATGAAATCCAAATCTAAATGTTGTGGAAGTCCGATGTGGAGAGGATTTCGCTCATATAATATAAAAAGACAACATTTTTTTATGCAAGTACTTAACTTATGAACTTTTGAATCGTTCGTATGGCAGCTATATGATGTAGGAGTAGATATATATGTAAGTCCTGATTGCAACAAAAATAAGTGCACTTGGCTTTATTAACTAGTCAGTTGGTACAAATCAAATATATATATCTTTTAGCTAATGCTATTAGCGATGTCTCTTTGCGTAACAAAACTAGAAACCCCTTTGTTAAGGTATATTTCATAATGAAGTTGTTTACCACGCAGCCACAAATCAGCGCCCTGAACAAAGGATGCCTCACAATGGCCTCAACGCTCGTTTATCACAACGGGCCAGTGCAGCCCCCAATCTGCTGGCAGTCCGTGGTCCGTAGCTATAATTACTGGTCTTATGCAGCCAGAGGTCGAGGTTGGGCATTTCAACTTGTCTTTAACTTGTCTCACGACTGGTCCGCGCGCATCTGGCATAGCTAGGAGCTGCAGCAGGTCCTGCAATCGATTTTTGAGTTATTGATTGTAACGACTTTTGTGCTCCTCTATGCTATGATTAATTTTATGTTGAGTCAGGCTTTTGGTTTGGCTTTTGATTTGAAAAATTAGTGCAAAATATAACAAAATAAAATTGCCAACTGCAAATGATCATAAATCAAACAGTTGGCTGATTGCATTCGAAGTGCTCACAAATTGCATGATTTGCAATTTCTGTGCAGCAGCATCTGAGAGCGCGCGAGAGAGAGAGAGAGAGAGAGAGAGAGAGAGACGGGAGAGGGAGAGAGACTTCAGTGGCATTCCCCGGATGCTGACACGACTGCAACGACTCGGCATCCACTTGAGCCCGGCTCATGAGAGCTGGAATATATTGGCATTCGTACTGCAGACCTCACGTTGTACTTGCGTAAATAATTCGCATTTTTGTTGCAAGTCGCGAGTTGTGCGACTGCAAGTTAAATTATTGCCTGGCATTTTTATTTGCTTTTTTATTGTTGCCATTTGCCGCCCATTGTCCTGCCGCTGACAACATTTATTGTTTTGTAATTAAATTTTTGGCCAAACAGCGGCAACAGCAGCATCTACAATAGGCCACAAAATCGATAAGCACGTGAGTGGCAAAGTTCTCGATAAAGCCTCTAAATCTTCATTTCCTTCGAGTGCTGTCCAAATGCCAGACAAATTGCTTGAGTTCGTTTATTTTTTGGACATAAAAGAAATACAGTTGTACAATGGACGCAATCGACAAATATGTAAATTTGGGCAGATCTCTAGCAGTAAGTTGTGCATGCTATTTTTGGCGCGTGGCTACCTCAAATTCAAGACTTTTTATTTGTTTACGATTGTAATTCCAGAGTGGAAAATATGCTGTTAAATAAGCAAACTAGATAAGCTAAAAAAAATACATGATTTTGTATATAAATTCGACTTTCTCTTGCGCTGATCTCATTTTGACCAATGTTTGTGTCTATAACAAGATTAAGTGGCCTCTCGTTATGTTACTCTCACGTTCTGTATGTATTTGGCTCTCCTTTCGATGCGTCTTTCTTAAATGTTTGCCCGTCAGCGTTTATGCTAATTTGCTTGTTTCTTCTAAGTGCTTTTCTATTTCATGTGTTTTGCGACTTTCGTAAAAGTTTTATAGGAAGCTTGAAATGAATTCTGTTTTGCTATCCCTCTCTGCTTCTCTATTTCTTGTGAGCTCTTCAATTCCTGATTGCGCGCCATTCTTAATGGTTTTAACATCTGTTTTTATCTAAATGCCATTTTGCCCACTGTAAATTCACTTTCATTTAGAGCTCTTGAGTGGCGCTTTATCCCTGGACAGTCATTAAATCCTTGTCCATAAGCCCATAGAACATGTCGCTAGCCAAAATCAATAAACATAAAGGTCTGGCAATTTATACGCTTGCCAAAACACACATAGACGATGACGAAGGCAGTTGAGAGAGAGAGCGAGAGAGTAAGCTAGAGAGAGAGAGAGTGAGGTTGAGGCAGTAACATTTCAAAACTGGTTAACCGGCTATGTAAATTTTTATTAATATTCAAAAGAAGCGATTGCGTGTACAATATCTACAACAGCAACAACAACAACAACAACAACTATAAACGCAACAGCAACTGGTATAAATATGCATATGACCTTCGTCGCGGATGATGGACAGCCGAACGTTGAAAGATATATTGAGATATTGGTCCCGGGTCGAATGCGTCCTCCAATCAGTTGTAAAGGCCTCATAAATTGGAATTACAATCAGCAATTGCAGCAATTAATTGCGCATAATCAAGACGTTGCGAATGATGAATGATGAGCCAGCAACCAAAAAGAGAAAGAGAGAGCGAGAGAGCGAGAAAAGGGCAGACGAGCAGAGAAGTAAATAAAATTATGCCAACTGGCCGAATCGAAGCTATTTTAATGGCCCACATCGTGCGAGGGCATTAAACAGAATGAAACGCTTCGAGCCAAACAAAATCGGGGTGAAAAAAAACAGAAAAATAATTTTAACCAAACACAAGAAACCCGAAAGGCATTTTGTTTATGTACATTTAAGTGTGCTTATGACCAGCAACATTTTGCGATCATTAGCAAATAATTTACGCCATTTACCGGCTTAAAAAATATTATTTTTCGGGTAATGTGAGATTTTGAAACACACTACAATATTAAAAAACTGACGTCCAGAAGTTGAAATAAGTCATATAAGAAAAATTAAACAGTGTATAACATTTATAAGAAAATAATGAGAAAAAATTACAACAAAGGAAAAATATTCCTCAACAGAATAATAACAAAAACTTTACCCAATAAAGAATATAACTTACTATTTTTTTAGAAAGATTCTTAAGATCAAATTTCTGGTTTGAACATTTGTATGAAAAAAAAGATAATGGCAGAAGCTAAACAAAATACTCAGAGGAAATAAAAAACGGAATATTTTTAAACGAATTTAAAAAGAAATAGTTGACTTTGAATTTCTTAAGTAATTTAAGAAGTTTTAATAAGTCTTTTTAAAAGTTTTCAAATTATTTTAAGAGTCAAATTCTAGATAATATCCTAAAAAATTCTTGCCGGAAGGAGTTTATATTTGGAGTACAAAGGCATCAGCATTTGGTAACTACATAAATAAAGGCATATACCCCTTGTATTGTAGAGCATGTTGAAAGAAAAATGAGTAACCGGCTACCCTTTTTGTGGATCTGTTCATGTAAGCAGCTTTGGTTTATTGGGTCCAACATACATTTAATGAACTGCCAGGGCGTAAATCTTCCAACATTGTGGTTGTTCTGTGTTGTTCTTTTGCTCTTATTATTGTTGTTGTAGTTGTTGTCGCCGTTGGTGGGCAACGCAAAGCGTGCGAAATTTGTTGTCAGAGTTTTAAAGCCTCTTAAAGACAGCTCAAAGCACTTGAAAACAGAAGCTGCTGCTGCGGCTGCTGCCTAAAACATTTGCCCATTGAAGTGAAATTAAATTAATTATGGGCAACAGAGCTTGGCCAGAAACATTAATTAGCTTGTCTTGGTGTCAAAGACGCGTACGTTTCTAATCAAATTAATTAAATTGGTATATTAATTATATTATTCAGTTGCAGCTCCAGTTGCTACCCCGTGGCCTATTGCCCCAACCCTTTGCACCCTGCCTCAAGCACACGACTCGAGCGTTTCTAATTAGTGTAACCTGATTAGTTATTGAAAAAAGATTGTGGCACACGAGAGTGTATGTATGATGTCTTGGTCAACGTGAACACAAAGTCATTCTACACACACACTCGTACAACACCCACACAGTGCCGCTGGCCACTTGAAGTTGATACCGTCATGCGATTTTTATCTGCCGCTCGCTTGAGACAAGTTGTTGTTGTTGCTGTTGTTGTACCTTGAAGCCGTTGCACATTAAAACCAACACGTAACCGGTTGGGCGGCCGCAAAGGTGTAAAGATTGATAAGCAGCCGGCTGGATACATTAAAACAAGAATCGAAGAAAAACCCAGAATAAATCAACAAAAATAGTAAAATCCAGAGGAGTTTTTGAATAAATAGTTTTATATACACATGATGCCATATAAACAACCATTACAAATATCAAAATATCTTAAACCACACGACCGCATGAATATTTAAAATTAAACGCTTCAGCGAAAACAGCTTTTGTTTTCGTTTTAATAGAATTAAATTGTATTTTATAAAGTATCCGTTTTTAAATTTCCAAAATTTTCTGCAACACTTTTGCACACTTCTGTACTTATATGTGCTTAATAAAACTAATAGAAAAATGAAACAATTTGATTTATGTAAAAATAATTTCAAATTATCTAAGGCTTACGTGTACAATTAAAATAAATATTTATGTATTTCCGCACACATCATAAATAATTATGCAAAAATAATCGATGCTAGTAGTTCAGCTAAAAGAATTGCATTTTAATTATAATAAATTACATTTTAGCCACAAATTTGCATAACAAAACGTAAAGCACTAGAAAAAAAAAAACAAAAATATGCAAAAATTTAATATGTAAATGAGAAAATTTAAGCCATATTAAAAACAACCAAACAAAATTTATTTAGTTAATTATGCTGCTTGGTGGGAAAAGCATAATGCATTTCTTGGCCATCTCCATATGGTGTGCAGAGTGCCATAAATTGTGGCAAAGTTAATTAAACACACAAAACTACAAACAGTTCGGCACATTATCAGTTCATAATAATAGCTTATCTGAACACTGCCTTATAGTTACCTGTACTATTTATGATTTATTGTTTTTCATGCCCTTCTTTTTTTTTTCATTGCAGCTCGATAAGGAACTCATTGAGCATACATTTATTTATAAATAAATAATTGATAGGCAGACGGGCTGCATGAAGGTGAGTAGCCAAAAAAAAAGTGTAATAAACAGGTAAACAACATTTGCCCCAATTTGGGGCGCAAGTTTACAAATTTTTTGGTCCAATGTCAATTTGTAGCTGGTTGTTTAAAAGCAAAAAGAAGCAAGTTCATTGTTTTGGGCCCAAACTAATAAGCGCCAAGTATGGCCGACAATTTAGCCGAGTCGCGGTTGCAGTTGCAAGTTGGCTAGTTGACTAGCTGGCTACTTGGCTAGCTGTCTGGCTCCTTAGATGCCCCAAGTTGCTTAACATTGTGTCTTGTGGCATTGTCTTGGCGTTTGTTCGTGTTGCTCGTTTCTCGTTATTGTGCCAAATGGCCATAAAAGGTTAATTGGGTCCTTAGCAACTTGGCGGGCAACAAAAACAAATGATGCCAACATTCCACGCTTACCTCTGCCAGTCGGCGCGGTTGCTGCCACTGCCGCTGCTGATGCTGCTGCAAGCCACAAGCGACATAGAAAAATCTTAATTAGTTAATTAAAACAACAAACAAAACCGAGTGCCAGTCCGAGTCCGTGTTCCATCTACCATGTAGTGTCCACTGCAACTAGTTCACTTGGGCTACTGCATAATTCATGCGCCTTTTAATGACAACCACAAGTGGAGCAGGACCCCAAATTGAAAGTCAAAGCCAAAGTCAACTGTGGCTGAAGCTACACACAAAACAAATTCAAGAATTTTGTGCTTAATTTAGGAAAAAACCAAATAAACATTCTTATTTTAAGAGCGTTTTTTCATCCCGAAACCCCTTTATACCGTTCTCAAATTATTTAGACAGTTTTTAATTAAGGAAATGGGTTTAGTTTTCTTACAACAATTTTTAAACATGTTTTTAATTCCGAAGTATTATTATATATAATTTATAGCACCGAAACCTTTTACCTCCAAAATATTTTCTGGTTTACCAACTTTGTGTGGAGCAGGGATGTGTCTTCTGGATCTGTCTTTACTGTTTGGAATATCTTTCTACGTCCCAAATTTGTTGACCTTGAGATCCGAGATATGGAAAATTGGGATGCATATTTCAATATGTCTATATCGATTCTTACCGATTGCATGAAAGCGGTACAAAGTATCTGTGATATAAAACCGATCTGCAAAGGCTACCTTACGATTTACATTAAAAACGTCAGGTTCTAACTATATATTTCATAGGGTCAGACGAATAGACAGACAGATATGTCCGTATTGATTCGGCTATTGATGCTGATCAGGAATATATATATATACGTTTTAAGGGGTTAAATCAGTCTCATTGCTGTCTGTTGCATTCACAAAATGCTATTTGAACAGTTTTTAAAAATATACAAAAATATTGTACCTAAAAACACAATCAGAATTAAATTCCGTATAAATCCTATGCCTGTCATACTAGAATTGAAAATCTTGTGTTTCTCCAAGTGTACGTGCGCAGTCGCCAGTTGTTGCCACTTTGATGTTCGCTGTGCTTGTTCTTCTACTTGTTGTTGCCGCTGCTGCTGCTGCTGTTGCCAGTGGCCAACGATAGAGACACATTGTCTGCTATAGAACCCCTGTGTATGTGTGTGTGTTTGTGTGTTGACTCAAATCCCCCGAGGTGACATTAAACTATGAGAGGCATTTAGTTTAGCGATTTATATAGGCGACTTTTTGACAGTTTTATGTCTCTCGCTGTCCACTGGGCTGCGTTGTCTGTACCAAGGTGCAGATTGAGGATAACGAGCTGAAAACCAACAACAGCAACAATAACAACAGCTTTGCGAATCGCTGCAGCCAGCCTGCTAGGTTTATGCTTCATTAAATAGCCGGGCAATGTTTATATTTCACTGGCTAAGGACCTCGTTATCCGCCTCAATCAATGCAATTGCGCGGAAGCGATTTATGGACGCAAAGGGCTAAAAAACCCTTAACAGCCTGCAATTGCAAACATTACAAGCAAGCGAAGTGAGAAATTTTCAATTTATACAATAAAAAACTATAGGAAAATATATATAAAAGACTGCGAACGAGCTGAAGAAAAACATAAAATATGGCAAACTATTTGGTTCAGTGGTTCAATTGAGGGTTTGCAAGTGAACAAAATAAATAGAATTCAACTTTAAATTTGATATTCGAAACAATGATTGACACAGAAAACGAAATTAAAGTTGTAACTTAATAAAAATAAAGGCTTAAATATCCTGAAAACTAAATTCAAAAAGAAAATTTCAATGATTATTGAGAGATAGTTTGTTATTTTCACGCAAAAGTTGGTTTCGTATAAGAAGTTCTTGAAGTTTAATTATTCTGCAATATTTCAATTTATATTTGTAGAAATTTAGTTTGAGAAGCTTTTAGCTATATCATACTTAGCTTCACAAATATATCAATGTATATAGATACAATATTTTAATCTATATTTTGCCTAACAAAGTTATGACTTTTATGCATGGGCATTTTTGCTTTATTATTATTACACTTTAAAAAATGGATATCCAATATTCTACATCTTCATAAACCCACCACCACAAATTTGACCAGCAGCTCAAGTTCAAATCAAGTTCAAAAACAGGTTGAGCATAGATGTAACCTCTTCACTTTCCAGAATCACAGAAAAAATGCTTGGCATGTGTAACCCTTTGGAGAAAACAAAGCCCTGACTCCAATCTCGCGATCCCATTACGACCACAACACGTGCCTGGCGCCTAAAGAGCTCTTTTGGATGTGTTTTTATAAATATAGGGTTAAAGGGGTCTGATCGGGTCTAGCTCGCGCCAACCATTTTTTTGCCATCTATTTTTTGAGGTTTTTTTTCTTCTTTCTTTTTACTTTTTGGTCATAAAAAATGACCAACTGCTATTAGGGGCACAAAAATGAAACCATTTTTGTCATTTGACAGGCAATTTTCAAGCGTTACATTTTCGATTTCTCTTTCGGTATGACACCCTACCCTCCCTATCCCTCTCGCCCCCCGGCCCGCTCTTTAATTTGTGGTGCCAACGCACAACAAAATTACTCGACCCGCAGTTGTGGCAGTTATGAGAGCGGGCAGGGTTTGCGCGCGTGTGTGCGTGCGTGTGTGTGTTATGTGTTCTGTCAGTTGCGCCCACAGAATGTTTGTTGGCCATAAAATGTGGAATCGTGCGACCCCGCCGCAAACCGTCCCGCCCTCACCGAAAATCTGATGATAGTTTATACAGGGCTAAAAGCATTTTTCCAGCCCATGCACATTTTCACATGCGCCCTTTGCCATTTCTCATGTGTCCCGCTGTCCCTTGTCCCCTGTGGCCCCTCTTTGTGCTGTCTCGTCTGCGTCTCTGTGGCATATTTAATCGAGCTGCCACATTGAAATATATTGACTTTATTATCCAGCCTGTGGGCTATCATTTGATTAAATCTAAATCTGTTTATGAACCCAACTTTTCGCGCAAGTCGCTTTTATTAATTTTACAAGAAAGCTGCATAAACAAAATTAACGCTGATAACTTTTTGGGGATTTATCGCGCTAGTTGGCCAAATAGTTGGCAAATTAGGTTTTTGTACCCTGAATGTGGTAAAAGATAAACAGGGGTATAACTGTTTTGTGGTCATGTTTGTAACATAAAGTATATATATTCATCTTCAGCATCAACCTCAAAATCGATCCCTCTTCCTGTCTACCCGTCCTTCTCCAAACGCGTCGATCTCGGGATATACCAGCTAGAGACTTAGACTAGAAGTTCTCATATACTACGTGCATATTGATTTTATTTCCAGTAATCGATAACTTGTCCATATTCCAAGAAATCAATAAAGACCTATCTCGAAATCCTGTTTCTCAATATAGCTAGAGATATCAAATGTTGTATTCTGACTCTCCTCTCCTCGTTTCCTCTAAAGAAAAGCAAGCTTTGTTGGCGCCAAGGAAAGAAGAAGCACTTAGCGTATCTACCAGTCAGTCAATTCCAAGTAGACCTTTCTTGTTTCTTTTTCATCCGTTTTATTCAATTTGCCAAAGTTGGGCAGCCAGTTGGCCAAGGTCCAAGCACAGGTTTCGGTCCCAGTAAAATGCAACTTTAAGCGTTCGCTGAATAAAAAAATCAAGGAGAAATGTTGGGAAAACAAAGTGAAAAACGTGAAAAACTGTGACTCGAAGAAGCGGCAAAGCGGCTGCTGATGTTGCTATTGGCCAACTGGCTGCAATAAGCCTCAATAGTCGAATGAATACCTGAATGGTTGAATGAGTGCTCGAGTGGCAGACAAACAAATAAATATTGGGGTCGTGCCATAAACCAGCCACCAGCTCAACTCAACTCAACTCAGTTCAGCTCGGCCCACAGCTGACCTGGCCAAGAGCGTAGCTGCCCATTTATAGTCAAAGGTTGTTGCTATTGTGGAAAATTCATGTATATGCAAATGAACAATTGATTTCTGTTGGCTCGCTGTTTTATGCGATTTTGCTTTGCCCCTCGTATGACCCTGAAAAAGTTGGGCGGTTTTGGCTGACCTTGCGCTTGGCCAAGTGCAAGGTTGGGGCAGGCAAGTAGATCGTGTTAGTTGCTAAGCCAAGTTTCTTAAATCAGTTTTCGTATTCAATTAAATAATTTGCCACTAACGCGTCGAACTTTTAACGAGTTTTTCCAGAGAGTTTTCAAAAGTTTTTGCTCAGTTTTCGCATTGCAAATCCCATGACATGCGCTGCTTTGCGCATATCTTTCCAGCTAGTCTCAATTAATCAAACTGAAAACTGAGAGGGAAAAACCACTTGGGGAAACATGTTTTGTCTGTAATTTCATGCAATCATTTAATTGCGATTTAATAGCGCGCTCATCCTGTAATTTATTTCGTATTTCGTGTAATGAGAAGCGCGTAGAGCGGCGCAAGGTAAAAGCATAGAAAATGTGAAAAGCGAGCATAATGGTTTTCTTCTTCATTTTTTTTCTTTTATCTTCTGTTTTTTAGCCAGGAGCAAAACGCGAACGTGCAGGCAAAAACATTTAATTACTTTTATGCGCTGAGAGTCATGACTCTGGCAGGAATCTATATAATGCGCTATAGTTGGCTTGGGCAGCAAAAAGACAGTGCGTGAAAGAGAGAGGGAGGCAGTGTGAGAAAGAGAGAGCGAGTGCGATTCATGTGTAGCAAACATTTCATTTTACAGCGTTTGTCAAATTAAAGGCTATGAAAAATGCGTGGCATGTTGCAATTGCTGAGGATGCAGCTGTCATTGGACATTGAATGGAAAAAATGGGGCTTGCAACCGTTGCTGTTAGCCTGGCAAATTAACAGTTAAGCGCCAACGGTAAATAATTGTCAATGACAACAACAACGAAGACCACTTGAACTGGTAGCTGCTCCAAAAAGCACATCGTGCCCGATAGACATAGCCCGTTTGAGAAGATGTTGCCGTTGCCGAGCTATGCCTTGTCTTGCCCCTCTGCCCTGAATGAGGTTTGACTGGTTTCTCAAGCACATGCACCAAATAACCAAAAGGAGCTGAAGCTGGTGTCTAAATCTGAGACTGGGAAGACCTGTTGTCTGCTTGCCGTCATGGTTATCTGGCCATGGGCACTGGTAATTCTAGCCGCCTTGGCAACTTCTCGCCACTCGGCACTCGCTCGTTCCTCTCTGCTTGCTGCTCGGTTGGCGGATGTGCAAATATTTTGATTAAATTTTCTCCGTGGCAACTTTCTTTGCACCAATGTGCCAGCTCTCACAGTGACTGCCATGTGGCAGCTCCTGTGTTCTGTATGCGTGTGGGGCAGCTGCTGGTTTTCTGTTGCAGTCGAGCCAACACACATTTCCTGCTTCTGCACAAAACACGTTTTTAACTTCAGGAACATCATCATCATTATCAATATAAGCAGCAGCAGCAGTAGCATCATCATCATCATCGTCATCATCATTTGTGGCTTCACTTTGATGCACGTCTGCGCCCAGTTGCGGTGACCTTTGCTGACACGGCGCATAATACAAAATCAAAGCCAACATTGTTTCCAATTTTAACATTTTTCATTTATACGGCGCATAAATCTTGGCTTCTCTAAAGAATTGGAATATTTTTGGTTCTATTTGAGATTTGTTTAATCAAGTTAATTCTTTTTTACTTTTAAGAATATTGGCTTGAATGTTCAAGTGAAGTTATGTTTCTTTCTATCTCTTATAAAGTATATTTGAGTTTAAGCAAAGCACAAATATATATATCTTGTTTTAAGAATTGGAATGTTGTATTTGTTCATATTTCCTTCTTTTTTAAGACATAAGCTTGATGTAAAGAAATTAATCTTTTAAAAAATTGCAAGTTAGTTTTCACAATATCTTAAAGTAAGAACTCGCTCTTATTTGAGGCTAAGTAGCCCAAATGTGATTTGACTCTATGTTCAGCTCTATTTGGGTCTAAAACTGTAATTGCCCAGAAGAAAAGTTCATTTGATGTCGCACGCATCTCATTAGAAACTAAATTCTGCGCTGGGTCTGGGCAAGGCTGGCAAAAGTTTTTCTGGGCCGAAATGCAAATGAATATTAAGCACAGACTTGAGGCTGCGTTTTAATAACTGCGGATTAAGTCTGCATAAATAATAATCATAATAAACTGTGTGCCAGCCATGAAAATGCGCATCAGCGCGTAGCAGATACGCTTCTAACTGCCCCCAAACTCAGACACCGCCTCGTCCGTCCGCTTGCCACCCTTGCCACGCTTGTCTCCCAGTCAACCCAGGAATCTGGGCAAAAAGTTTTTGCATAAGAAAATGACAAATGATCGGCGAAGGCTGTTGGGCGGTTCGAGTATTAGCTTCAAGTCGTGCTGGAAAAGTTACTGTTACGGCAGAGAGGGAGCTAGAGAAAAAGAGAACGGAGAAAAGCGCGACAAAGAAGTTTTCTTTTGTTGGGGTAGAAATTCTTGGACTTTGTTGCGCGTAATTTGAGCTGCTTTTTTTTGTATTATTTTTGTTGTTTTTATTTCTTTCGCGTCTTTTGTGTAATATTTCATTTGGCTTGAATGGCAAGCGATGCTCGCAATTTTTCTCATTCCTTACAAATAGTTGGCTCTTTGTTGCTGTTGGCTTTTAATACCCAGTTAAATGTGCGTCTAATTATGCCAGCAATTAAATGCGAACTTTGATAAATGAGCAGGAATAAAAGTGGGGAGTCAATTGGCAGAGGCGGGGATCATCCTGAGGCATTTGCATGCCAATGGCATGCCCAACTTAACATGCAATTCAATTAAGTCTTATCTTATCTACAGTGCGCGCTCGCAAAGAGAACCAAAGCGAAAGAATAGTAAAGAAAAAAGTCTTCCAAGAACGCACAAATTGCTGCGACGCTTATCAGTCAATTAGCCAACAGATAAGGCAAACAAGTAACGCGAACATAGCGCAAATTGAGGGTTGAAGACCGGGTCTCAGCTCTTCGGGGATTGGCAGTTAAACATGACAGCCCCGAGGGGCGACCAAATGATGGCAACAATGCCCACATTTCCGTCAGGTTATCGAGCAGCGCTGTCAACGCATATCTTTTAACTTCAAGTGTTTTTCTCCACAAGTTCTCTGTCTCTCTGTCTGTCTATCCGCTGAGCTGTGATAAGCCCAGGTAAGCATGGCAAGTAAATGGTTCGTTTTTATGACAGAGCTTGTCTGTCTAATGCCATTCAAAGAACTTACAATCGAATTATTTGGCAGTTTGTTTTGTCGCCAACAAATGGGCCATGCTGCCAACAGCTGCCGCTTGCAAATATTATTCCTATAATATATATCCCTATCGATTGTCCTGGAATGTGGCCGCCAAAACCGCAGCTCATTTAACGATTACGCATCGAAATGTAAATACGTTTGCAATTAATTTGCTTACGAAATTTATTTGAAGTTGAGTTTATAACTAACTTATATTTGAAATTTTTTTAAAAGTACATTTTATAATTAACTAATATTTGAAATGAGCACAGGTTTTGACATTTTAGTTAGTCATACGAATATTTAGATAGCGAGAAGTTAATCTAAGCAGTAGGCTTAAGCTTTTTATAACAGCACTAAAAGATATATATTTTATCTTAAATATATACCCCACAAATATGACCTCACTTAATAATATGTTTGTATTTTTGCATACAATGTAGGTATTAGTTAATTTCCTGTTTACTTAAGGATCTTGCAATAATCTTTAGATTAATAATTGCTTATATAGTTAAAGAGTTTTATGCTTGTTAATTTTTGTTTGCTTAGGGTCTGATACTTGATTTGAGATAACGTTTCAGAAAATGCTCTATCGAAATAGCTGATACACCTTATACTCTGAGAGTAGAAATAAAGCTCAACAAGCCACGCTGCCAGTGAAGCGTTTAAGAATACCGAACAAAAGAGAACTAAGAAGCATGCTCTGCCCATGAAGTAGATGTAATTATATTTACAGGCATTTGTATGTGTCATATTGCATAGCCACGCTGCCCGCAAAACGTTCAAGGACGTCGCACAAAATGGAACGGAGGAGGCTCTCAAACAAGTATTCAATCATATGTGTGAATTATGTTCATGGAAACAGATAGTTTTTGTTGGGCCATAAAAATGATCTTCTATGCTTTAATTGCTGTGTGTTACCTTATCTTTATTTCCTGTTATCTTAAGCACTAAATGCGTAACCATGACATAATTAGAAAAGTTTGACAATACTTGAATTTATCTGCTGCACCTTATCTTTTTTGCTGATTACGTACAATTTACTTTCCATTTCAACTGGATTTAGGTTTTAAGGGGAACCTTTCCCAGCTGCCCTCGCGTCTGGCCAACAAGATTTTTCATGGCAAATAGAATGTGAAAATCAAAATTAAAGTTTTAAACGCAAAATTATATGATTTGGCTATGAATGCGAAATGATATCGTTTCATTTGTAAAATGCCTCGTTCCGAGCGCGCACTGCGCATATGGCACGTGGCCAGCGAGACGCGAATTTTAATTAACAAACCATTTAAATGAGAATTTCGAATGCCGGTAGGGAAAAACAAGAGCAATTCGAATCGCCAACAGCACGTGTTGGCGCCCAAAAATCGGATGTGCGTCATTTTGCAGCAGTGCCTGGTGTAAGACCCCCTCCCAAAAAAAAAAACAAAATGCCAAACGTATTCTGGAAATGCATTTCAACTCATCAATTATAGATGGGAAAAACAATTGTCCGTGTGATTGCCGCCGTTAAAGTAGTTGGTAGAATAAATTTGACCAATAGCTGATGTGGAAATTAACACGGGCTCCAATCCCTGATTATCCGAACTGACAACTGTCGAACAAATTAGTTCAGCGAGTCGCATGAAAACCTCTATAATAAAATAGAGTACGCTTTGTAGGCAGCATTCAATGCGTCTGCCTCTGTCTGACGACTATTTTTGGCATGTTATTTTAATACGTATTTATAAACTGTGTGCAACTATTTCAACTGTAACCCACCATGGTTAGAGATTTCGCAGTGGTTGGCAACTCTAATCGCTCTATTTTTGCCAACTTTTACAGCTGAGTGAGGACATGACATGTGTCCCCCCTCACTCACTCTCACTTTGTGCTACCCTCTTTTGCTCTGGTTTTCAATTTATTTACCAAACAGACACACGCACACACATACACACAACGGAAATTGCCAACTTTGTTGAGCGTGGGGCTGGGCTGGGCTGAGGTTTGAGGGGGAGGCGCTGCCAGGTCGGCATTGCCACTTGAGCCCAACGAGCCATAACAAAAGGCACATGAAGTAATTAACTTGTATTTATTGTATGCACATATTGCTGACTGCTGCAACAGCGGTATGGGTTGCGGGGTGTGGGGCGCGGGTTACGGTGCGCCCTCTCCCTAGTGGCTGGCATGGCTGCCTTTTCTAATTGATAAGCTGGCCCTGGCTGCTATCTGTGCATGTTCATTCAATTACTTGGCCTAGACCCAAGACTTGACTGCAGCTAACTGCAACCGATCTTGGTCAGGTTTATGCACATAACGCGGCCCAGTTGGTAGTTAATGTTTATTAGTTTTTTCTATTTAAACTTTGACTAAAAGCGAGTAGCATAACTATATGAAGTAGTTTGTGGCAAGTAAAAGCATTCACTCCGTAAGCTGTCATTTACGCATCATATTTTTATGAAAATTAAACAAATGTTATATATTTTATGTACAGTATGATCAATACTAAGGATCTACAAGTTAAACAAAGAGGTAAGCGTTTTTTTTTATCATAAAGTGTGCTTCAATCGGGCTTCAAATAGAGTCGCTGCAGTGTCAAATTTTGTTTTTATTTAAAAGTATGTAATAAAAAGGTATCTATCTGCAAATTTCAGGATATACAATTCTCTCATATTTGTTTTTCTTCTCCGTAACTAGAATATGTAACTATCAAGTAACTTCGATTGTTTATCTCAAGCAAAAACGATACAAATTGATAACTAATTGGTGTTATCGATTAATATTGAAAATTATTAATATAACTTATCGATAAATATATTTTGAGCAAAGTTATAAAATGAAAATTGTTAATATTGTATTGCACCACGTTGGAGGTATATTAAACCCCCTAAAATTTCGTTATTAAAAATTTAGTAAATATATTTTAAATAAAAAAAAGATTGAAAATCAAGCATAAAATACTAATTAGATACTTTAAATAAACGTAAAAAGTCGTAAAGGAATGTGCTATATTTCTTTCATAACTTTTGGTATTACGAAAAATGCACTTGAAATTAGAAGATTTCTACTTAATGTGTGTACAATTTTCAGTTTTTTCTGCCTGAGTGCCCACAAGATGATTACGTTATTATCGTGGTTAGATGAATTATTTATGATACAATATATTATTAATGATATGATACATAAATTATATGAATGCATAACTTTGCAGATATCTCGCTATTTTAGCATACTTAAATAGTTTACAAACTGTGCTCTTGAAGAGTATTTCAAGTTCGTGAGAGCTTGTGATTGTTTCTCATTGCTGTTGTTATTAACTTTTCGTCTGATGCGGCAACCTGGCACGCAACTTCGCGCTGTGGGGCATCCACTTGACTGAGACAGACTGGAACTGAGTAGGGATTGAAGACTGGAGGTGGCCACTGAGAACGGGGCCGTAGCTCAAGTGGCGTGTCATTTACCTGGCGGCCACAGACTTTAGAAACTTGTGCGGGGCAACAACTGGGCGCAGATGCTGTTGCAACTTGTGCAATTATATAATATTGACATTAGTTGCATGTTGTTGGCCAGGCTGGAATTTAATTGCAGTGCAAGAAAAAAAAACTGAACTAAAATCAATATAGCCTCTGCTCTAATAGTATGTCAATTATTTGATTTGCGTTTCAATTTAATGGCTTAATGTCCAACAGGCAAAGAGAATGCGTTGTCAGGCTTAAACGTATGCCGATTAGATTAAATAATGACAGAAAACCAAACTCAATTCAACTCAATTCGATTTCTAATCCGAAACACACTCTTTCTCTACTATTTCTCACTCTTTCTCTCAATATCTCATTCTCTCTTTGTTTTGGTTCATTTGCAGGCTGAGTGCACAAGGAGACTGTTAAATTGACTTAACCAAACGTGTGGCGCACAGAAAGGACACTCGTGTGTGTCGTGTCCTCGTCACTGCTTTCTCTTCATATCCAACTTCAGACTGATTCACCGATTCACCCGCTGCAGACTGCAGGCCAAATTGCACAACAAACTGTGGAGAATAGTGGAAAATACTTGGTGAACGCAATAGCAAAATACAGCAAGAGGTATTTCAAGTGGAATGGCAACAAATTGAAATACGTGTCCTGCAGCAGACGTGTGGCATGTGCAACAACAACTGCAACAACAAGTACAGATAACTACGTAAAGAACAACATATCAGCAGCTTCCAGAATTGTACAGCAAATCAGCTGGAAACCTTTTTGGGCCACATATCCGGATGCATAAATCATCAAGAGCAGAGCGCGCACATTGATTAATGTTACGCATACGCAGTGTGTGCCAACCGAACGAGGCGCCCTTTAACTGTGACCACTCAACGACTTCCACTGGCCATTAACAACTGGCCAACGCCCACAACAGTAGCTGAAATTGCAGCCACAGTTGCACCAAAAGGAAACCCATACAAAACTCATCATGGCATTTATATGGCGACGTCGCTCCACAACAATTGTGAAGCTGGTGGCACTGATGCTGGCCATTTGGTTCTGCATCGCTTTCCTCATCTACACGGACGACACGCGCCGGCGAGCGGCGCAGGAGACCAGCGGCTACGGTGCCAGTGGAAACATCAACGCCGGTGGCGGTGGCGGTGGCGGCGGTGGCGGTGCCGGTGCCGGTGCCGGAGACCCAGTTGCAATGGCCCTGAAAAATGGTCCCATCTCCGAAGAGGAACCAGGTAACGACAGCTTCGCTGTTTATGACAATGCCATTGGAGAATCCAATCGCGTAAAGGTGAAACCACGTCAGCAGGACGACGATTCGTTGCGCCAAAACGCAGTCGTCCATGCGGTCGAGAAGCCCGTCCACAAGCAGAAGCCGCCACCCAAGGAGGACGGTAAGTTGAGCAGCCATTTTAATAATTATTTAATGGGCACAGACTGCTTTGCATGAATTATTATTTGAGTCAGCTTCAACTGCATTTCACAGGAATTTAATTAGCATAATTTTCAGAAACTCATTAAAATGATAAAATGTATAGACCTTTTATCTATTATGAGTTCTAGGTTTAATTGTTTGATTCTTTTAACGCAGCTGCACTTATTGAATAGCCAAGGTTAATTGAGTACTTTTCTTATTATAGTTAATGATATTATCCGGCTTTGCCCAGATCTTGTATTTGTAATCATATTTTATCATTGTGTGCAATAATAAATTGCATATACTAATATTGGCAATTGACAACTTTCGTTGCGCTTAAACCAGCAACCTCTCATTTGTTAGTCTGACGCTCAACTATAAGCTATAGTACCCTTTTTTAAGAGGTTCATTTAAAGGTTCACTGCAGACGAGTGAATCATATCAAACGTGGGAATCCTATCTTTTTGTTAACTTAAGAGCAGCTATAAATTCTTCGTTGCCGCTGACATAATTTATGGCCTCATCAGAGTACAATTATGCTATGCGAGCAAACCCCCTTTCGGGCCTATGCTTTAGCCACCAAGATTAGATACTTTTGATGCCAATGAATTTTCCGACACTAGCACGTTTTGCCTGCATGGCATTCGCCTAACAAATGTGCAACATTAATATTTATATTGAAATCAGTTCCAGATTAACCACATTTCTCGCCACATCCATCACAGTTAGTGGCTCGGCGTCCCGCACCACTTCGCGCCCATGTTGGTTGATTCGCAACTTGTTTTTCTTCATATTCGATTATTTTCCACTCTTCTTCTTGGCTTGTAATCCTGTAATCAGTTTTTGCTAATCTTTCGGCTCTGTCTGTGTTCCCATTCAGCCGGTTCGCACTTCATTTTCACGCAATCGTAGTCCACTAATTTCTAGCCAGTCTCGCTCTCTTGGTCTCTCTCTCTCTCTCTGTCTCCCTCTCTTGATCTCTCTCTAGTTCAGGATTGCATTTTAGGTCAGGCATTCAGGAATCGAACTAAACTTATGGATAATCACACACGCGGCTTTGCCTGTTCAGAAACTGCTGCCGTCTCCTGTCGCCCCTGTTACCCCTCTTGCTTTTGCATGCCTTTAAGAAAATTTCTAACAAGTTTTACAACAATGTTAAAGATGCCAACGGCGACAACCACAACAACGCGAGCCGGAGAATCTGCACTTAACAAGTTGCAATTGTTGCCAAACAGCATTTTCAATGGCAGCCCGTTTAACAGGGTGTGTGTGTGTGTGTGTGTGTCGAGCGGGGAGAGGGGCGTTGCCTTTTGGAGTGGTAAATAGAGAGACCAAACTCTCATGCCGCTGTCAAGCGAGGTATTCGCATTAAGCATATTAAAACAATAGCAACAACAACTCGACCACTAATCAGGCACAAAACCTTCAATAGTTGGGCCCTCGGCGAGAAATTTTACTCAATGGGCAGACTGACTGACTGAACGTCTGACTGACTGACTGGACTCACTTGCCTTTTGTGTTTTAGTCAAATCAATGAAGCAGTCAGCCGTAACTTGAACAAGTGCTGCAGCCAATTCTATTGGCCAAGACGCCGCTGCTTGCATGTGCTACACGCATTTAAGATTGCATCTGTTTCTGAGTGGACCACGCATTGGAGCTGGCCGCGTGTCGTCTTTACTGGCGTGACACGAGCACGCCTAACTACACACGACGTGTTCGTTTTTTTTAAATCAAAGATCGCGTGTCCGTGTAGAGTGTGTCACAACACGTAGATATTAAGAAGCACATGGGATGGACATAGCTATTCCTATTTATATTCCTATTCCTAATCCAATTCCTTCGCCTACCTAAACTAAGATCACACAATGCTATATCCATTAACTAGCCTCTTACTTAAAGTCCTAGTTCTTTTGGTGCTTGAACTAAATGGAATATAAGTGTTTTGTTTAGAGTATATATTCGATAATCATAATACATTTTGTTCTTGTTCTGAGGGAATGGAGAATTCTTGTTTTGCGATTGGAGTATCCTCAATCTACATGAAAAACTAGAAATATATTTTAAAAATGAATTTTGAAAAGGTATTATCTGTTTTAAACAAATGCAGAAGCTGTTTTCTGCACACGTGAGACACTTAAATTTGAAATTTTTTGAACCGGTCTCTAATCTCGATCTCTGGACTTGTGAACAAAGCTCAGAAACGCATGTATTGTATTGGTTTCGTGTCGTGTCTGGCATAACTTCGACACGCTTTCATCTCTATTTCCCGAAGGGCTTACCGTCTGGCAGTTTCACACAATGCACGTATTTGCAATTTCGCATATCATGTTTGCATCTCTTGCGCAGCCTCATCAGCAACAGAGGTGGCAAAGCTACAAGTTGTTGTTGTTGTTGTTGCTGTTGCAGTTGTTGTTGTTGTTGTTGTTGTTCGTTTGCTATTTGCTGATCCTGTCGTGCAGCAGTCGCCCCGTGGCGTCAAAATTGTGTGCAAGCCTACAACGTTTACCAACACTCGACCACGCACATGAGTTTGCAGTCCCGGCTGCAGCACTAGTTGCTCCATCTTCTGATTCCTGTTAACCGAAACAGCCATTGTCTGTGGCTATGACTGGCTTGGTGCTTGCTGCCTTGTGTGTTCATAGCTGGTAATTAGTGTTGTTGTACTTATTGCTTGGCCTTGGGGCGCCTACCACCAAAAGACGTGGCCAACACGACGTTTATCGCGCGCACGCATCAACCAGGCAGGCAGGCATGCCGGCAGGCTGGAGTACACTCGTCCAGTCAGTCACCTATCCAGTGAGTCAGTCAGTCATTCAGTCAGTCAGTCGAGACGCCGTCAAGCTGCCTGCCTGCTGGCCATGTCTTTAATACGCGCACTATCTTGATCTTGGCCAGGTCTGCCGGGCCTGGTTGTCTGTCCTCTTGTACATATTTTTTTTCTTACAATTTAGCAGCGATAATGATTTTGTACATACAATGCAAATGCCACGCCCATTCCCGCTCTGAAGAAACTGGCGAAATGCCTCTGGGAACAGCTGCTTCCACAGCAGATTGATTGCCTGCGTCCAGTTGTTCCCCCCGTTTTTAATCAATGCTTATCCCCTGCCATGTTAATAACATAACGCTGATTTGAGTGCGTCTCTGGGTGTGCGTATGTGTGCGTCTATTGTCCCTATTTGGAGTCCCTAGGGCAACCCAGTATCCCACTTGCCCACTTGCCCACCTACCCGCTGCTATACATTTCGCAAATAACGCTACTTTGGCATATTATGTTCCTTTTATGCTTTATGCCGGCACATGCCGGGCCAGCTTGTTTAGGCAGTTGTTGGTGGGGCGCCTCCCAGGCATTTGTCTGTGGCACACATTGCCACATTGCCACAGCTCCACCCACAGACGCTCCCTCTTTTTGTCTCATGCAGCTCGCATAACGGACGCTTTATAGCTTCCTGTCACGCTCAGGCGTGTCCCTGGAGCGCCTCCCCTGTATCCTAACCATTATCTTCCTCTCATTTCCCTATTCGACTTCTGGTTGTGTCCATAAACTGCCGATAGATATGAAAATTATATAGATGGATAACGCATATGCCGCCGCTGCCGCAACTCGATTGTTTGTACAGTGAACGCTCGCAACATGTGAAGGAAGAATGAAATTGAAGTAGATTTTGATTTTATTCCAGCCCAAAAGTTCGAATTTCTTTATAAAAATTCGCCTCTGGTTGTTTTTGAAAATCTTGCAGTAAAGTGCCTTTTATAATTTTCTATTACTGAGCTTTTCGTTAAGCACGACCGCTCACTGTACAATCTGAAATGGTTTTGTTTTATCATTTCAGTAGAGTTTCTATATTTCGCTATGCTATAATTGGATTGTGCTCAGGTGGCTACATTTGAATAGCGGCGCGCCGTTGGAGTTCGTGCTTTAACATTCCATGCTGCGCTATAAATAAGTGAATCAATAAAACACATTAAAACCCATAGAGCCTGGCTTCATATCCTCCAGCTGCACCGTCTGCAACTTCCCTTTGCGTTCCCTTTTTTTATTGTTTTTTTCTTTTATGATGCGTGTGTGTGCACGCGCGCAGCATGCAAAAATGTTCATTACAACAAATAACAGTTGAGTGTGTCGCTTAGTCCTTGCTAGGGTTTTCTTGGAACAAACGTTGCCCTCCGCTGCCCCCTCAGACCGCCTGGCACCCGCGTGCATATCCCGCAATGAAGTTGTAACTACGACAAATCATAAAATTTATGTGCGAATCCCCCTCCCTACTTTTTCTAGGCTCCGCTTCTATGCCCAGTTTCTGCTTTAATGCCTTTTGTTGTGAGTCCAAAAATTTATCGTCGCCTGATTGGCCTCTTGGTTTTCTTCGGGTTCTTACCGACAGTCTCTACTGCCACATCATAATGTGGCCAACTTGGTCTGGGATTGGGACTGGGACTTAGGCTGGGCTTTGCTTTTATCGCTTTTTATTTAGCAGACAGCTTTTTATGTTTATTGAAATGATTGTGGTAATTGAAATGTTTTTCATTGTGCGACACTCTCGCACAAGCACACACACACACTCACATACTCGCACACGAACAGCGCCAATAAGTGTCACTTCTGGCTGACAAATCTCATAAAAAGCAGCAACTGGCAGCCGGAACAGAATCATATTTCCATGCAAATGCAAATAACAAGATAATATAATGCACACACAGTGAGCACACCAACACACACAGCAACAGACAGGCACATACAAGCCCACACACGCCAAGCAGCAGAAGAACTCATCGAGTGTATGCAAGATGCCACAGAGAACACGCATACGCACCGTTGCACACTGCTACAAGAGCTAACAAATCGCAAAGCTATAAAATGAAATCAGTAACATTTTATTGGTTAAAAACGTTTTGCTTTGAAGAGTATTGTTTTTATTTTGCGTAGCATCAGATAATATGCAAAATATTTTCATAATATATACAAAATATTAAATAAATTTAGAGCTGTTGCTTTGAGTAAAAATTATCTTAATTAATGAAGAACAAGATTTACATTTCACTTTTTTAACATTATAATTAAATGTTCTCTAAGCGCACTTGATAACAAAATTTGTTTGAAATGTATAAAGTAAAATCCTATAGATTAAATATAGTCACTTTTTTAAAATGCTCAAAAAGTAACACTTTCTTAGTGTTCACTTAATAATATTGTATTCGTACGACAATATAGTAGAATCTTGTTCTATACTCCAAACTTTACTTAAACAAATCAAATATCATTTGTCCCACTGTGACTTTGGCTGGGAAATTTGCAAACCGAAGCATTTTTCATGCACGACGCTGATGATGACAACTTTTCATGTCAAATGCATTGCGATTTATCATCGCCGAGTGTCACATGCTGTGCCAGTCGTAAATTTCATGCACAACAAAGCAGCAGCAGCTTCCTTTCGATCTACCCAAGCCAGAACCCATTCTAACATAAGTCCTGGCAATTTTAAGCCAAATCAAGCAACAACCTTAACCCGTCACTTATCTTTCTCTCCCTCCCTCTCTCTCTTTCTCTCTCTGTGTCCTTAGATAAAAGCGTTTTGGATGCGCCTGTAGCTAATCTTAATGATAATCCCGGTGAGCTAGGCAAACCTGTGATTCTGCCCAAGGATATGCCGATAGATATGAAAAAGGCCGTCGACGATGGCTGGACAAAGAACGCCTTCAATCAATATGTATCCGATTTAATATCCGTGCATCGTTCGCTGCCCGATCCGCGCGATGCCTGGTGTAAGGATTCGGCACGCTATCTAAGCAATCTGCCCAAGACCGATGTCATCATTTGCTTCCACAATGAGGCCTGGTCCGTGCTGTTGCGCACGGTGCATTCCGTGCTGGATCGCTCGCCACCCGAGCTGATTGGTCAGATTATCCTGGTGGATGACTACAGTGATATGCGTGAGTTATTGTTGTTTTGTGAGGGAGACATAAATATTAATGGTAATCACCGGTTCTTGCACTTTGCAGCACATCTCAAGAAACAGTTGGAGGATTATTTCGCCTCCTATCCCATGGTGCAAATTGTGCGTGGACCGCAACGCGAGGGCTTGATACGCGCTCGCCTCCTGGGCGCCAAATATGCCAAATCTCCTGTCATTACCTACCTGGATTCGCATTGCGAGTGCGCTGAGGGTAAGTTTGGAAGTGGTTAAAAACCCTGTTCTTTTAAATATTTAGGAATTTTGCATATTAACTGTAACAACAGTTAACAATAGTTAGTTTTGGCAAAGCTTACTATTGGACAACTATATCATAAAACCTTCATAAAAATTCATTAACCAAAGAAACAGTTTTTCTATTTGGAATAAATATGCCTAGGGTAGTTAAAGTTCGGCATTCCTTAGCCAACCAAATATTTCCTCCTGTCTCACTAAATTAGCTCGCGCTGCCCAAAAGTATGCAATTGTTTTCTCTCCCCTTGGTTCATGTTTAATGCAACATTTAGAAATTGTTGCAAATTGCTAAAACAATTTACAATGTTTCTAATTGACTGATAAATTGTTGGCATTGTTTTCGTTTGTCTGGCCAAATTAATCGTAAATTAATTATTTAATTAGACCACAAATCGCGAACACACATTTCAAATATTCAGTTTGACTCCACAAGAGCAAAAAAGCAAATAAAAAAAAAAGAAAATAAAATAAAATTAAATTGTAACCAATTTTTGGCTGGGTCGCTTTAGGCGCATTTCGCAAATCCCCAGCGTGCCATCAATTTTGTTGTTACATTTGATAGCCCAAAGATGAGATTCGTTTCGGCCAACAACAATGTTGGCAATAAAACAAAGCCAACTAGTAAATCACTTAATCTTCAGTTTTGCTGGTCCCGGCACTCGAGCGTTGATAGCGCTGATTGCTTTGTACTCGTCTCTTTTGGCCCAAAAATTTCATTTTGGCTAAGGGAAAATGATGGAAGGGCCGACACACAATCAATTTTGTTTATTGCACACCAAATCGATGAAACCAACAGGAAGAAAGAGTGAGAGAGAAAGATAGAGAAAATACTATCGAAAAAACTTACTTCAAAAAATATCATGGAGAAAAACTTTCGTTTCAAAGAACGTGCACAACATTGTTCTGAATGTGTGTGTTTGTGCGAAAGTTGTGCGCTAAAAGAAAACAATTTTTGGTCTTTTCACTTGATGTTGGCGCTGTCATCGTAGTCGTCAATGCTGATGATGAATGACACGGCCAGGCGAATGAGCCGGACACGAACAGTGCTAGCAAAAGCAATTAAACCGAGCTACAAACCACGGCATTCACGTAGTTGCTATAATATACTGTAAAAGGCTAGCCCGAAGAAAGGTTTTTCAAGGAAATAATTATTTACTTGTTTGCTTTAAAGTCGAAATATCACATATCGAGTATCCAACGGTGGGTTGAAAATTCAGTTTTTTTTTTTAAAAACTGCACAATGAATGGGTAGCATATATATACTTTAAATACAAGGGTATAATGATATAGCATATTTATAATTAAATTTAATATAAAAAGCAGAGAGTATTTAACTTTCGACAAACCCTTTCTTTATTATAGCGAACAATTCAATTATATTACTTTACATACACCTTCCAATTTTACTTTGCAACAAATTCAATAATTAATTTAAGAGTCTTTGTGTATATCAAAATTATCTGTATAATATTTTTCATTCATTTACCTACCTTTTCCTACCTACCTTTCCTTCCCTTTAATCATTCCACAAGTAAAACATGCAGTTTTTCATCTACTTATTAATAGTTTTTCTATTCCTCAATAATCTCTTATTTTACTCACATACTTCTCATTGTTGCCATTCCATTTATCTTATCACTTATTTAACCTGTCAACATTCTTACTTGACAAATCCAGAACTAAAGTCCTCTCACTCTCTCTCTGTCTCTATGTCCACAGGTTGGTTGGAGCCGCTTTTGGATCGCATAGCCCGCAACTCGACAACAGTCGTCTGTCCCGTTATTGACGTTATCGATGATACGACTCTGGAGTTTCACTATCGCGACTCCAGTGGAGTCAATGTGGGCGGCTTCGATTGGAATTTACAGTTCAGTTGGCATGCGGTGCCGGAACGTGAGAAGAGGCGCCATAACGTAAGTCCAAGCTTATTAAGTATACGCCCCATACTGGCAAATTATATATATACATTACACCGTTTACCGCCAAACAGCGACCACATTGAAATTTTCAAACAGTTCAAATGTGGGCGTTGGGTGCAGTTTTGGGCGCTTTTTGCGGCGTGGCGCGTATTTATTTAAGCACATGCCATTATCCTGCTGTCTGCGTTTGTGTGTGTGGGTGTGTGTGTATTTGGTTTAGCCATAGTTGGGTTAGCCGAACTAACCCCAACCTTTGCACGGTATACCAAAATTCCGTTTTGCAGAATTCGCGCACACAACGGAATACATGAAGCCGCTTAAAGCGCTCGAACGTGACTACGGCGGAATGTGAATGTTTGCCGTGAAGTGAATGTGGCCATCAATGCAAACACACATATACACACACACAATCAGCCAGGGCTGTTGGTTATGATATGGTTGTGTCGTAGGTTCATTTGGGATTTTCTATTCAGCTTTTGCCATGCATCTCACCACAGTTGAAAGAGAAAATAAATTCATGCTAAAATTAAATTCGAGCGAATATAGCATATTTAAGCAAAACCGAACAGCTAATAACTGTGGGAAAGCAAAATCGTTTACAGTATTCCCTTAATTAAAAACTCTATTCAGTGCCTTAATACATAATCCGATATAGGGGCTTGAGTGAAGGCAAAGCAAAGTAAATTCGATAAATGTTTGAAATAATTGTGGAAAATCGTAATATAGAAAAAATCTCTGTGAAGCATTCTAATATTCAAGAGAAAACAAATTGTTTTAAGCACTCAGTCGTAACAGTCCCAATGCCTTGTCTGCGAAAACCGAAGAGAGAGCTTTATTTGATGAGTAAATTATCTAAATTCGTGATATTAGAACATTAATTGCAGTATATTCAAAGAAATCTCTCATAACAATAATTCGGAATCGACCAAAACCTAGTTTTATTTAGTATTCATTTTTCTACACCATATCATATTTATATGTTAGCGATCAGCTTGTCTTATGCAGTTGCTCTAAGTGCGATTCTTTTCTAAAATTAAATTTCACATTGTGTGAAAAATATGTTGATTTTCAAATTTTAACACCACAACCAACTTTTAGCGGCGCTTTTGTTGTTTCAGTGCAAACAACCAAGTTGGTTGTGTGTGTGTGTGTGTGCCTAAGTAAACTCAGAGCCCGAAGACCCACATTAAACATGAAATCGCATAAATTCGTATTACCTGTTTATACCTGGCTGACACCTGACGCCTGACAGCTGTTGAAGCTGCCCGCAGGCGCTGAGGCCTGACAATTATGCTGGCTTGTTCACATATTTGGCGAGGATTAAAGTGGATCTGAAATGTTCGTGTATTGCGGGTGTTCTGAATGGTTTGCCAAACACTCGAAATGCAATTTCAGTTGTTGGCACCCACACACCCGCACACTCCCACACACTCGCGCACATCCACTCTACCGCATGTTGCAAATTTTGATATCCCTCCACATTTGTCAAGTGGCCAAAACTGTATTTTGTTGCGCACTTGAAACGAGAATATTTCCTCATCACGCTTGGTTCTGCTCATTTTTGACCGCATTTTGTTGTTGTTCTTTAAATGTTCTCTGAACATTTTAATTAAACAACTCGCATTCATTCTTAATTACAACATTTGTGCTTAAATACGAGAAATACATATAGCCTGCGTGTAAGCGATATCACGCATACGACGCGTTAAACCGGCAGAAATATTATGCGCAAATTACATCAGAACGGCTGGTCCTTTGGTGAGGCATCAGGGTGTCAAAGAGCGCCTAACTGCAATGAAAAGCCAAAACTGTTAACAGCAAACTCTTGACTGCTGCTGCTGCTGCTGGGACTGTTGTTGCAGTTGCAGTCGCCGTCGCCGTCGCCTTTTGCGGCGTAAATATCTGGCATAATTGTTTTTACAAGCGCCAAGGGAATTTATGAGAACATTGTTGCCGAAAATCCATGCCACACTCGTTGCACAGGGATCGCCTGGTTGGGATTTGGGAAACGGAACACATTTTCATGGATGTTGTTGCTGCTGCCGCTGTTGTTGCCACTTGCCGCCTGCAGCTGTACTTAGCAGCTAAATCAAGTAAAGCATTTCCTGAGCACCACATTGGCAATTTGCCGACTGCGAAATGGGAATGAGCCATAAATGTTGCCTATGGCTGTCTGTGTGTGTGTGTGTGTGTGTGTGTCGACGACGACAATGATAATGGCTGCCAGAACTAGGCGAGCGGCGCAAGAAGCATCTATGAAACAGAAACAAAATCGAAAGAAAAATTTCTCGCATCTGCGACAAAATGCAATAAATGCCAGTGAAAAAGTTTCCGCTGCTGCTGTGACATCAATTGAAAAGCCTTTTTATACCCTATACCCATAGGAAAAGGGCTAAAAAAGGGTCTATTGAGTATTGGCCAGGTCTGTTGTCTGTTTGAATGCGATTTCAGAGAGCTTAGTATATATGTTCTTGCATACCATATGCAGATCAAGCAGAGCTACAAACCCCAATGAAATGGTCGAGGTTTTGATTTACTTTATAATTTCCTGTTCTTCTGCAAATATAGCATTCGAACTTATTTTCATATAGATAATGCGGGCTACATAAGATATCTACATAACATTGGCTGCCATCAAATATATTGCGATAAATCCAATCCCGAAGGTTGTTTTGCTCAAGCAGACCAATATTAAATACATTAAGCTTAACAACTAGGTTCGGTTTTTATTTCAACAAAATGGAGTTCAGGGTTCGCTTTGGCAGCCTTGGGACAAATATATTTCGGCTTTTTGATGATTTAGGTAATCGGCAAATATTTAATTTAAGCCTTAGTTTTTTTTTTAGCATATTTCGGATATTAAAATATATGCAGGCACCAAATTTGCAAATAGTTAACTTTGTCTACTCTACCAAAAGTTTTTAATTTTAAAAATATATAATCTTGATTTTAAGTACGTATGCACAATTGAACATCATATAGAAACCATGGTAAATGCAAGGCTTATAGATAATAAGTATAAAAGTTGTTGAGGGTTAAGTTTTCTTGGCTGTTATGAAGCTTCTTATAGAGCGCCTTCTAGTCGGGCCCTCTCAGCTAGAAAACTCTTGATAGCTATACATTAAAAGCCCGCATGCACTTCTAAGCACTGGCAACCTGAAGCAAGCGCAAACGGAGCATATATCCTGGTTGTTGGGTTACCTTTAGGCAGCTGTTGACAGCCTTAAAGCCGGCTCTCAACTTTTGCAGTGTGTCCAAAAAGTTGTAACGATGGCAACAGCAGCAGCAACAACAATAAACATCGCTGGAGGTGTTGTGCGCGGCGAGGTGGTATCAAAAATACATATTCGTTAGTAGCTGAGGCCCCGCTCGCCCCTTCGCAATGCCCCTTGCCTTGCGCAATGTCCCGGCCAGCTGCCAGCAAAAGTTGCGTCAGTTGTGTTTGTTGTTTTGGAAGCGTTGCTTTAGAATCGATATATTTGAAAAGCTTACTAGTTAAAGTGTGGTTGTGTGCGCGTCTGTGTGTGTGCGTGTGTGCGTGTATTGAGGTATCCAAGACATGCTTTTGAGAGTGTGTGTGGGGTGTGTCAGGGGGGCAGCTGCCTGATTACACGTGAGTGACGCTGCCAGCGCTAACGGCTAATGGATTTGGCATTAAACTTGGCAGCTGCCATTCGCCTGGCTGCCCAGCCCAAACGCTCTGCCCCTCTGACGTTCCCCTCCAATCAGCGAATTTGGCAAAATGCTCAACTTTTGCCATCGAATTTGTTTGCCCCGTTTAAGGTTGAGTCCAGAGGGGGCGGCTGCTTGAGAATAAATCAAACTCTGGGCAAATTGTGAGGCTCGTGTTGAGACGACTTTAATGCCGTCTCGTAAATAATATTTAAACAATGAGAGCGCTTCTTTTGTGCGCAGATCTCGAGCATTTTATGGCAAATTCGCAACTTGGAACGAACTTTTGCCAGATTTCTATAACATTTTTATTGCCATTCTTTTACCAGCCGCATTTTGAGTTACCTGACGGCACGCAGTTGCCTGCCACCTGACACGTAGACTTCTTCTTCTTCTTCTTTTTATCCTTTTAACTTGTTTTTTGACATACATTTTTATGAGTCCTGGGTGACTGTGGGTGGCTTTGAAAACCCTTTAAGGAGTTGTGTAGAATGTGTTTTTGCAGACATATTAAATTAAGATATTTTCTATTATAATAATGCTGGAACATTTGTACATAGAATGAATCCAAATTTTTTTGTTTCTTTAAAAGTTAGCAAATTTTAATGTTATACATAAACTATCAGTTATCGAATCGGATTAAAACGCGAAATATTCTCCCTTCTGCTTAAACGTGCTTCAAAAGTTCTTAAGAATCTTGAGTGTAAAAAAACGTAGTAGAAAGAATCCTCAAATCATCCCTCAATTTAAGATAGTTTTCTCTGTTAACAGTTATATTAAAAGACAAATATATATTAATTTTAAATTTACAAATAACTTTTTCCATGCTAAAGCTGAAGAAGGAAAAACTTTTCCTAAGTCAAGATGTGATAAAGAAAACATTGCTAAATTGTGAGAAAAATTTGTAATTTCATAAATTGTTTAACCAATACTGAGCAAACCTGATTGCTATCAACTTTTAATTCAATTAGTTGACGGCAGCTGCTGAGTCTGTATCTAAGCCATCGTTTACTTGTATTCTCTGCTCGCAACAAACAGTCTTGTGTGTTTGCCTGCTGCTGCTGATGTTGCTGAAGCTTATTTTTCTAAAGTGTACTTCTGGGCGCAACAAATAGCCTACAAATTGCGAGTTGAAAAATATGCAAAGCGAAGCATTTTAAGTGCTGCAGCAGAAATTAGCTCTGAGGCAAAAAATTGCCGAAGCGCACAAAAAAAAGCGGAAATAAAAATAAACTAATTCAGTCAACGCTTTCGGCTGCTAACTAAAAATAATGAAACTGCTGCTGGAGCAGCCAGCTAATCCGTTCGCGTTTGTTGTTAGT